ATTTTCTAAAACTCTCTTAGCGAATGAAATCATAAAATCTAAGTTAGAAAAAGTGGATTATATTCGAGGTTATTTTGATGCCGAAGGTGGTATCGCCAAGTCTCCTAAGGTTCGTTATTATATCTATTTCGCTCAAAAAAATGAAATGGATTTATCTCAACTTAGGAATTATTTGGAAGAATTAGGAATAAATTGTGGAATTATCCACAATCCTAGCAAATTAATTGATCCGAATTATTTTCGGTTTTTTGTAAAAGCAAAATCTTACTTAAAATTTGCTAAAATGATCGGTTCAAGTCATCCAATGAAAAGTCAATATTTACGGGTGAAGATATAGTCCAGGCCCTTGGGAAACCAAGGGGTAAACCTGAACAAGGTATCCGTAGGGGAATCTGCGGATGGAAATAAAATTTATTAAAAAAGGTTCTGTCTAGTTTTGAGAGTTTATAGAAAAAGTAGCAAAAACATATCATGGCTAACGAGTTCGAACAAAAAATAGCCCCATATCAAAACCGAATAGGGCAAATGGAAGCCGAGGAGATAAGAGACTTTTTTACTGAATTAAGTCCATTTATCCAAGCGCCCACCAAAGATGAGAAAGCCCAACAAGTCGAAGCCGATTTCAAAAAAGGCAAGGACAATTCACTAATCATTAAAAGTTTACTAGACGTGTTTAATAGATTAGTCGCTTTGAGCCAAAAGGCTACCCAAGAAAAAGCCGAGTTATTAATTGAGTTGTTGGAGCCTTTTGTTATTATTTACAATCCTAATTCTCCAAGAGGAAAAAAACAATGGTATGAATCAAAAAAAATTGGAGTGCTTGAAAGCGGGAGTGGACTGACTAGTGCAGGGAGAAATGTCTTTGGAGAGACAACTAACATATATATAGGTGGTCGAGAGGAGAAATGAGGAGGAAGAAAAGAGGAATTAAAAACCACCTTAGAAAAATTACGAGCCATAAAAGAGGGAACGGCTCAAACCGAGGAAAATACTGCTAACCAAGACAATAATAACCAGACAAACGAAACTAACAACAATAACGATCAGACAAACAATAATGACGCCCAATTAGCCGCTGAAAAGAAAGTAAAAGTGGTTATAAAAGCCGCTAATGCGGCATTAACCAGTAGTGATTTAGGAGTAGTCGAAAAAGCCACCGCTGAATTAACTGATTTACAGTTTAGCAATAACCAACTAGAAAGAGGAGAATTTAACAAACAAGGCGGAGGGGATTTAGTTGAAAAAATATTAAACAGACAAGAGCAATTAAAAAATTCTGGTCCCCAAGGAGAAAACAACCAAAAAGATGACCCAATTCAACCGGACCGTGCCGCGGCTATTACGGAAATCGCTAATAAACTGACCGAGACGGGAGTCAAGACCAGTGAATTAAGCAATGATTATCACGACTACCAAGCCAAAATGAAAGGCTTCACCAATCTCAACCAAATTAATAATTTCAAAAATAATATGCTAGCGGCCATTGCAGCCAAAGCCCAGGAGAAGCAGGACGCCGAGCAAATGGATGATAAAGTTCGCAATAATAGCCAAAAGACCGGTGCGGAATTGAATGAGGCCTTAAAAGAAATCGCCGACGACCACGGCAAAAAAAGTTATGAAAAAAACCGAGACCAAATCGAGGCCGATAAAAGAAGGGCAGCCGCGGCTGACGCCGAAGCCTACCGCCGAGACACTGCCTTGCCAGCCTTGGCAAAA